TATTTGTAGATTTTTGAGGAATCTCCAAATTGTTCTCCACAGTGGCCGGACCAATTTATATTCCCACCAGCAGTGTAAAAGAGTTTTCCCCTTTCACCACACCCCCACCAACTCAACATCTGACTGGGGTTAGGTGGTATCTCATTGTTGTTTTGATCTTCATTTCCCTTACGATGAGAGATTTTGAGCATTTATTCATATGCCTTTTGGCTATTCATATGTCATCTTTAGAGAGTTTTTTCAACTCCTCCCATCTTTTAATAGGGTCAATCATCTTTTTTCCAAACAGTTGCTTGAATTTCTTATGTATTCTGGTTATCAGTCCCTTATCTGATGCATAATTTAAAAAATATTTTCCCATCCTGAGGGCTGTCAATTCATACTAATTACTGTGTCTTTTGCCATGCAGTTTTAAAAGTAAATTGAATGGGCCAAGCAGGTGGATAAGGCACTGGATTCCCACATGGCCAACCATGGTTCCAATCCTGGACCTGGTGGCTTGCTTTCTCACCTTCTTTCTCTGTCACTTTCTGGTTAAATAAAATAATAATAATAACTTAATTAAATAATTATTTTTAGAAGTAAATAGAATGATCACATTGAAGTAAATAGAATGAACACCACAGTGAAGTACAGCAGCCCCATAACTATATGTATCCTAGGCCATGCACTTGCTGACTGGTCTTTGAGTTCTGCGGGGGCCATTTCTATCTCCTGTCCTGTCATTCAGTTCCATCAGCATACCCGTGTAGAGTCAGGGAAATAGAAAAATGTCATTTCCCTGCCCAAGCTTTTGCTCAGTAGGATTCCCCCAAGCCTCTTTTGCCTTTGTGCTGCCTGATTTCCTACCCTGCAACCTGGGTGCCTGTCCCAGGTCTGAAGTCAGACAGCACTTATCCTCACTCCGTCACGCACTAATGCGTGACCTTGGGCAGGTCGAACTCTGATCCTCAGCATACCCCTTTTAAATCGCAGTGGCCGTCCAGCACGGTGACACAGGTATAGCACTTGGCACATTCTGGTAGCCAGTGGGCACTAGTCAATGTCAGGGTGGCACCGTTCTCACTTTCGTGGTTGTGACTGCCCTCCTTCTCCGTTGCAGTCAGCTGACATCGACAACCACCACGCGCTCATCGAGTTTAATGAGGCTGAAGGCAGCTTTGTCCTCCAGGACTTCAATTCCCGCAATGGCACGTTCGTCAATGAGTGCCACATTCAGAACGTGGCTGTGAAGCTGTTACCCGGAGACATCCTGAGGTTTGGCTCTGCAGGGCTGACCTACGAACTGGTCGTCGAAAATCCACCCCAGGTGAGTCCCTGCAGGGTAAAGGGGCCCCAGGGTGCCGCACTGTGTGGCCTTCAGTGCAGGCCTGTCCTCACAGACAGCCAAAGGGTGGCACTGGCTCAGAGCTGTCCCGCTCAGTCATTTCACATGGTGCACACAGGAGGCGGTGACAAGACTCGACCCTGTGAAGTTCAGACTCCTCGAGATCTCAAGGAGGAGCGAGTCTTACCCCCGCTCTAGGCACGTCACAGGGTCACCTGAAAAGCTGCATAGTGTTCAACACAGAACTAGGGATTTCCTAAAAACTCACGGCTTC